GATAATTATAATGATGTTGATGATGACGATGATGATTATGATTACGATCGTCGAGGAGGGGGTTAGATTGCTGTTGGTATATACGCGAGGGGGATTGGGGGGGGGGGATACCCGATGGTTTCACTTGCGGATTTCCTTCCTTTTTAACTGGACTTTCGAGCTTGGATTTCACGCCATTTTGCCTCGCCAAGTCGGCATTGGCGGCCATTATGGCATCTTGCAATTACGTACATACCGAAGTCCACTTGCTTGGAATCCGACGACGCCGGTTTTCCATTCCTTACTCAAATGCCGTTCTAGGTCGCATTTTCGAATCTTTTCTTGTCAACTCGGGCGATTTTAATCCAACACAATAATAATCAATCAGCGAGATTTAATGCGTGGCAGTTTATTCCGTCCTCCGTCCCTTCAATTACATAATCGATTTTCTTTTTTGTTTTGTAAATTGGAGTTTTGTTATTAACGATCGAGAGGTTGTTCATTGTTCGTTCATTGCCATTATTATTAGTAGTATTATCATCATTATTATGGTCATCGTTATTTTTTCTTGCATCGATTTACAAATTTATGCGAACTTCTTTTTTTTGTTTAACATGATTTTTTTTAATCGTAGAAATGCAAATACGACTGGTTATAAATAAATATAGTAAAGTAACAACGATAAACGTATACATTTCATAAAAATTTACGCGTCCATGAAGAGAGAAACAAACGTTGAATAATATCGTTGGGCTTTTGAGGCTTATCGTAAATAGTCACTGGCGCAACATTTACATATTTCACATACTAATAAAAGCACAATATTTTAATTTATAAATAGATTGAGAATCGGTTATTTAATTTATTCTATTTCCAAGTTTTTGTCAATCTCAAGTAAATCGATACAAATGTTATACGTTATAACTTCATGGATTACGAATATTTTACTTATCTTTGATATACATACATGCATGCATAAATATATATATATATATATATATATATATATATATATAGCGAGAGAGCGAGAGGGAGGGAGAAATTGTAACGATGACCAGATATTCATTTAAATTTGATTTTTGAAGTATTATTATTGTTGAGCTTTTGATCATATTAAATTGTTTACCAATTTCACGAATATTAAATTAGCAAAAAGTCGGTTATAAATATGCCAGGAGCTCGTGGTTTTCCTACATACGATATAATATATATTATATATTATATATATATATATATATATATATATGTATGTATATCTAGAGTTTTTTTTAACGGAAAAATGACGCCATTTATTTTATAAAATGGTATATATCACCAATATATTCGTCGTATATAAGCTCCATAGAAAATTTGAAAGAACAATCGGTAATAAATTAAGGCGTTGCGATAGTAACAAATTGTAACGCGTGCCTCCTTAAAGCCCTCGTAAATTCTACGAAATTTTCTTGGATGAGCCACCATTTTCCCGACGGTGTGTTACATATAAAACACATACGGTCCTCCCTCCTTCCCCGTGCGCTCGCGCTTTTGCTGCCATCCCTTCCCTCCCACCTCGAGCCACCTCGTTCCCACGTTTCTTCGTCACTGTATAGCAGCGATATCTGGACAATCGAGACGCATGCGCCGTTGTAACGCTACGGTTATTCTGACCGTCGTCAGCCTGGCCGACGCTATCCTCAGCCGTCGTTGCCCCCCCCCCCACTGCCCAATGTAACCACGAGCCCGTTTGCTCGGCGACGACGGCTAGCGCGAGCGAGCATCCGCCGTCTTTTCCTTCCCCCGTCGACGCTACCGCCGCCGTCACCGCCGCCGTCACCGCCGTTCCCCCCACGTCCCTCGTCGACCCATGCCCCACGCTGTCGTCCCCCTGTAAGAGAGAAAATCGCGGCGTAAAGCTACACGAGCGCCCTCTCGCGTCCCTTATCCCCTATCGTCTATGTAGGCAGGCTCTCACGCCATTGTTAGCGAAGGGCTGTTGGAGAGAGCGCGAGGCCGCGCGTCCGGGCCGCCAGATAGTTTTTTTTTTTTAAATTCTCCCGAGCGTGGCGCACAGAAGCCGACAACGACACCCTGAGACGACGGGGGACCTCGGAGGACTGCTTTTTATCCTCAACGACGCGCCGCTGCCTGTGATATTTCGTACCTTATTAGCGCCGATTTAAGGTGAGTGTGCGTGTGTGTGCGTGCGTGCGTGCGTGCGTGCGTGCGTGCGTGCGTGTGAGGTCCCGACACGCAATTAGGACAATGGCGAATATCATACTATTTACCTCATTCGCGAACACACTTCACTCATTTAATTTCTCTCCTTAGCCTCGTACGTACTTTTCTTTTCTCCGTGGCTATCTTTACCGGCTTCGTATCGTCTACGCGACACCTTTATCATCTTCAAATTCTTCACGTTTCTTAAGGCTTTTTTTTTTCCTCCCGATTATTAGGTTCCTGTCTCGGTCTCGTGCGTTAGACGTCTGTCCCCCCTTCCCCTTACCCAGTCTATCTTCCGGATTCCACTATTTGGCTATTAAAGCCTTGGTTCTACTACGGGCGTTTCCACCTTTTTGTCGCTGTCTCGCGGAAAATGTATTCCTTATGAGTTCATCGGCTATTTTATCAGTGTTGCACCGTAATGCACTTTGTCTCGGCTGAATGATTCGGTCCCGACTCACGCATCATTGCCTGCATCTCGCGCCTTTATTTTTCCAATGAATTTTCTCAACTCCCTCTCGCCATTTTGTTCGAGTTGAACTTCCAGGTCGGCCATGTTTGCTCCGCGGTTGCCGGATAGCGGCGAACGTATTAGAATTTTCTCAAGATCGCGGATAAACAAACTTTTTAACTTGAATAACAGCCTCGCTGATTAATATTCCGTGTTTGTAAATATTCTTTCATTTGCTTCATTTTAGTACGATAATGATTACGATAGAGAATAAACTGATAATAGGCTGGACGAGTCCATGTTCTATTGCCGGCGATAATCGTTTTAAAATAAATAGTAAATTGTATTCGTAAGGCATGTGTTGGCCTTAATATTAAATGCGCTACGAATGCCGACGTTGCCAGTTCGACACACGGGCAATCCATCATTTTCGCATTTCCTTTTTTGTTTTTGTCGCGTTCGTGTGATGAAGTTCGCTGCGATGATATTATTTCATCGTCCTTTCATCGCAGCGCGAACCTTAACATTGTCGACCGTAAAACAATGCTAAAACAGAGTACCGGTGGTGTCATAAGCACTAGTCGGTGCAGTATAAACAAACAATTCAAATAGACGAGTAATTGAATCGACTTTACCGAGAGTTCCGCCAACCGGCGCATCCGCGCGCTCGCCTGCCTTATGCCTTATCCCCAACACTCACGGTGCGATGTTTTCTCTCGCCTTCTTCTTGCTGCCTCCTCCCACTCCTCCCACCACCCGTTCCCCTCCGCCCCTCGGGCGAGTCCATTCCACGACGTTGGACGCCGGTCGGTCGACTACTACTACTACTACTCGCGTAGTTTTTTCATTGTTGCTGTTTTTGCGGTGACGCCGTCGGCCCGCAAAAAGCGGAACGAAAAATCGTTGGGCCTCGCGGGACAGCGAATACGTCGACGTATTCATTACGGAGATCACGCAATTTTGCGTTTAGCAGACAATAAATATAGATTACGCAACGTCTTGGCGTTTTGTCTTAACCGGCTCGTGTTCATAGAGAAACCACCGCGAGCCTGTGTACCGGCGGTACGCGGCTTTCTCGATACGCGTACACACACGAGTGCGCACGCGTGCCATGTATGCCCTAGCGCATTGCCGGCATCTCGCTTCGTGTTAATGCGTATGGCCAGTCGCCGTACTCGCTCCCTCCTGCTCCCCCCCCCCATCTTAGTCCCTCCCGCACTCCCGTCGCGTCCAACCATTATTTAGCTGCAACTGTAGCGGCGGCGGGACTATTGATCGCGGCGAATTGCGCTAAGGCGCGAAGCTATTGTACGTGTAGCGTTATTCTCTCTCTGTTTATGTAATGACAAATTTTTTTTTTTAATCGAGTGAGCTTACCCTCGGGAAATTTGCGATCGATAGCTAATTTACTGTGTCGCATGGGAGAGGAGGGTGGTTGTGCTTTGTTTGATGCGTGTTGCCGTGGTGGTGGGTGGGCGGATGGAAGGGGTAACCAGGGGGAGGGACTGAGCGGATTAACATTAATTCCAATTTTGTTGTTCGAATTTATTTTTGAATGGGTTTTATACAAATGACATGGGTTGTTGTTTCAACTTTTGCTCGACGGTGATATATCAACTCTTCCCACTGCTTTAATCACCACACTGCCACTTTGACTTTATTACTGAAAAATAATTTTTGTTTTTTAAGCAACTAACGAAACGGTTTAAAAAGAAACAAACGCTTGCCTTTTGATTGTTTTTATCATTCCCTTAATAATGAATCTTCAAACAACTATGTACGGGATATCGATGCTCGTAAATGCAACGCATTTATTATGAGCATGGGCTCATCATCAATGAAGAATAATAAAAAGATATCTTGGAAGCCGGTGATGATCTCGTTTTCCCCATTTGTTTACATTCTCGTCGTCGTCCCGCGGTTTGATGTAATCGTTGACGACGGTCTGCCTCCAACGTTAATCCTTTATGGTTCACCACGCGATCGTTTAAAAGCGCCCATCGATCGGGGGGTCGACTTTTATTAATTTCTATTGCCATGCTACAACAAAATAACGCTCTCGATGATAAATCGGTGAAAACACTGATCGCTCTTTGAATTAGGTGGTGGTGGTGGCGCTGGCGGTGGTGGTGGTTACGGTTACGGATACGGATACGGATACGGTCGGACGGTTGGATGTGGACATGGACGAGGACGATGACGGGGACGGGGACGGTCGTACGTTCGTTCGTTCGTTCGATTGTTCGCGAGTAGGGTCGCCGGTGTTTTTTTTTGCCAGGGCTCGCGATTGGGCTGGCCATAGGTTTGGCGGTGGAGTCGGTGGGGTGAAGCCATTGGGCCACCGAAAAAGGGCTTTTTCGCGAAATGACGTTGCCGTCATCGCTCGCCGCCCTGGCTCCGCCCCAGCCTCGTATCTGGCAAGCCCGCACTTTGCGGCGTTGCAGCATGGTTGCGTCCCTTCCTCGCGACGGGGCCGTCGCGCATGCGTTGTCGGCCGCCCCACCGCGGCTTTCCCATTCGGTACCGTTAGGGGCGTGAGGGGAGGCCTTCGCCGTGCTGCTGCTGCTGCCGTCGCCGCCACCGCCACCGCCACCGCCACCGCCACCGCCGCCGCCGCCGCCGCTACCGCGCGACCCACGTACAAAGGGAAAGGAAAGGCGGCTCGCGGTGAGGCGACGCGCTTGCATCATCTCGGCCATTTTGGAAGCTTCCACGCTCGAGACCGGAGCTTTCCGTTGTTGCACGGCGCGGCATCGCTCGTTGTCGAGTTGCTGCTGCTGCTGTTGCTGCTCTACTACCACACCACTATCGCCGCTGTTGTTTGCTCTATCTCCAATTGCTGCTCTCCCCCCTCTCCCCTTTTCAACCATAGACCGTCCCTCCCCGCCGTGACTTGATCGGCAGCTTAACGGATTATCTCCCGTATTCGTTGTCGTTGCCGTCGTCATCGTCGTGAATTTTTGTCGTCGCTTGCAAATATTCAATGTGCGCGACACGCGGAGTTTGGTTGAGAGCGACACGGAGGTAGTCGTCGAGGCCCGCAGGCTCGATTCTCACCGGGCTTATATCTATCCCACGTTTGCTTTGGCTCCGCAGAAACGCAAGATGATGGAGGACGATCAGCAGTTCTGCCTTAGGTGGAACAACCACCAATCCACTCTAATACAGAATTTCGACACATTACTGGAGTCCGGCACGCTAGTTGATTGCACGCTGGCGGCGGAGGGGAAATACCTAAAGGCCCACAAAGTCGTCCTCTCCGCCTGCAGTCCGTACTTTGAGGTGAGTTAATTAATCAATGCAATGTTACATCCCGTGCCATTTGATTTATTGGAATTTGACGCTCGTCAACGGGAAATATTTTATCTAGAAACGACGAGCCTCTAATGTCTACTAAATAATAGCCAAGTTGTTGGTACCTTGGGATTAGTTCTTCATAGTTTGTAATGTTGAAGATAGTTAATCGTACAAAATTTAGTCAATGTTCATAACTTTAACGGCTTATGAACAATGAGCGTGGTACTCAAAATTTGCCAAGTAACATCATATATTTATGTATAAGGCAGTTTTTCTTTAAGAGTGGATCATTCCTATGGTTATTATTAAAGTTATAGATGATGATGTAATTATTGCAGTTGTCTATATGTAGAGAACTCGAACAAGTCCAAACGGGATCAATACTTTGGCCAAATGTTCTTGCAATTACCAATATGTAACTATGCGCCGCTCGCACATGCAAATAGAGAGACGGACAGAGAGAGAGAGAGAGAGAGAGAGAGAGAGAGAGAGAAACTGAGACTGAAAATGAAACTGAAATCGAAACCGAGACCGGATACTGTACGGATTAAATTTCGAAAAAATTAATAACCGATAAAATTAAATGGTACAATTATGTACGTACGTTTGGATAGTGCTTCGGTTATTAAAAGCTCTTTATGCTCCTCTCCTCTCCAATGTCTATCTGTCTCTCGTTATATGTCTCTCTCTCTCTCTCTCTCTCTCTCTCTCTCTCTCTCTCTCTCTCTCTCGGAAGTTCATTGTCCGTTTTCATTACATCCATTTTTTTTTGTTTTTTTTTTTTGTTTTCTTTTTGTTTATGTAAGAATCGCAATGAAATTTAAATAACAAAAAGCAGAATAAGAAACTATTTGTATAATCGAGCATCGAGTTCTCCGTATTCGTCTTCGACGGTAATTTCTTTGTCCCAGCAGTGGTGTTAAGCCTTCTCTCGTGTTAGATCAATACCAAATAGAGGGAGAGGCACAGACAGACGGCGGCTAGAGAGGGATCGAGTCTGTCGAAACAAAATGGCGCAAGCATCTACACAAGTATCTCTTGAAACACAGTCTGCCTCCGCCCAGACAGGCAGGGGCAAAAGCAAGGCAACGGTTGCGAACGAAGACAGTAAAAACAGGCAGCGTTAGCAGGGGGAACCGAGCTCTTCCCCTCTTCTCGCACTACTCGCGCCTTGTCCGACATCCTCTTCTCTTGATCAATACCTAGGGAAAGCAAGATGGCCGCTTTCCAGGGCACTTGTATTCTCTCTCTCTCTCTCTCTCTCTCTCTCTTTATTTCTCGCTCGCGCGCGTTCACTCTACGCTTACGCTGACGCTCACTCGCTCTTTCCCCTGCCCTGCCTTGGATTTTACTGGGCTGGAGGCTGTAGTGGGGAGGAAGACGCGCAAGCCTCGTTTTTCCTCTCGCTCTTTGACGCTGCTCTGCCCTCTCCTTCGACCGGTGTTGAACCTTTTGTAGGACGTCGCTCGCCTCTGCCTTCCTGCGCAGCTCGTTGAGCGCGCTTCCACGATGATGATTATTATAATGCCCTCTCCCATTTTTCTCTTTTCGCTCCGCAGCGCACTTTTATAATAATGTTATCCTTTTTGAGTCTTTCTCTTTTCACTTATCTCTTTTGTGATTTATGGGTGTTAACCACCTCTCCTCGAGTCGTGTTCGCGCGCACGCGACTCGATGGAATTGAAATATTTAGGTCGAGCAGTAGATGATAGAAATTTCTTTTGCCTCGTATTGGAGATTACTCGGTTTTACCGCAACGAGGAGCCACGCAATGTATGCATGGATGGATGGAACTACGTTCGGATATGGAGTTGTAACTCTCATTATATACACTCATTAATAATAAGCAGATTAGATTGGCTTTTTCCACTAGCGGAAATACCATACGGATTTACTTATTATTAGGTTTTGTTTTTATTACAATGCGTAAGAGGAAAACACTGCTTTTAAGGACAATATTAATGTTAAAAAAAAAAAAAACTTACCAACCGTGTTTAACTCGTTAATTCTTTGAAGTGAAGTAAAGATGAACACAATTTTTTATTACAGGGTCTCTTGAGTGAACACTACGATAAACACCCAGTCTTCATACTCAAGGATGTAAAATTCAAAGAACTGAAGGCCATGATGGACTACATGTACAGGGGAGAGGTGAATATATCCCAAGACCAGCTGCCGGCTCTGCTTAAAGCAGCAGAGTCCCTACAAATAAAGGGCCTATCGGAGAATAGAACGGGGGGTAGCGGCGGCGCCACGACCGGCAAACCCGACACGAAGCCATTGAAAACGGCGAGCTCGACGACGGCCTTGTCGGCGGTCGACATTCCACACGCGTCTTCCGGTCTAACCATAGAGAAGAACAGCAAAGTTCCTAGGCAGAGTATACAGCAGGTCTCCGTTAGTGACCTGCCCGAGGACTCGGCCAGCCCTCAACTCAGGGGTCTCTCCTCCAGGTAAGAGACACGGATGATAACGTCGTTCAATTCGTTTAACTGCATCGATTTATTTGTTTCGTCAATGTCGCGTTCGATGTTGATAAAATTAGAAGTAGGAAGTCGGTGAATTTTCAAGTTTTTTTTTTTTCTTTTTAAATTTATGAATCGTGTTTTATTTTGCTGAAAAGTAAATTTTCTCGCAACGTCGTATATTTTTAGAATACAGCAATTTATTTACCATGTACAAATAAATGGAATGCAGTTGAAATTATCGTTTGAAGTTTTCATTGAATTTTCTAACATTATCGTGTGATTACAGGGAAGGATCACAAAGTCCGACCAGGAGAAGAAGGAGGTTGCGGAAAAAAAGTGTGGGCAACGATGATAACTCGATGGAAAATCACGAAGCATCAAACTCGAGCGACGTAAATATCGGTGCACCAGCGCTAGGAGTCGCGCCAGTCGCGGATGAGAAAAGCCATGCCGATCCTGCGGATTCGATCGGCAGGTCAGCTCTTATGCAGCAACTCACGAAACCCGCTGACGAGATGCTTCAGGTGAGATTATTTAAATAAATCGTGAATAATTGTCCAAATTGAGGATGATCCTTGTTGTATGAACATTGTTAATGCTTGGTATCGCGCTTTATTTTTGTAGATTCCCATTGAAAAACCTGAGCCCAGCGATGAAATGATACAGCCAAAGTCTGAGTACCTGGATGACCAGGAGAGTGTGGAAGATCTTACGAATTTGGATGATGATATGAATGACCTCAACGAAATGGAACAAGACAATAGTAGAGCGGGCCCGAGTCACGATCCTTCCCAACATCCTGGTAAGCATGAAATAAATTTCATTTCACTTGTTCTTTCTAGTCTATCAGTCGCCTTTTAAATTTTTAACCTTTTAAAGAACAAATCAATGTCGAGAACAGCAAATCACAGATATCTAAGTTAGATCAGTAAGTACTGAGTGGGACACAGGATTTATAAAAAATACGACGTTCAATTGTTTCAAATCATATTGCTTAAGAAATACGGTATGGGAAATTCACGTTTTATCTGAATTTATTTAATGTTTTATTTGGGATGCACAACTGTCGATTGCTGTATCGGTCCCTTTTGTTGCTTACGTTTCCGTCTATATTAATTTCTATGTTAATTAAACGAGTACCACTACAAATTTTTGCACTTACAGATACGATTGAAATTATTAAAAAAGTATTAGAAACTTAATTCTAATTTATAAATATTTATAAAAAGTTATAACTGATATTTTACAAGTTAATAATACTCTAAAATTCCCAATGGGATAGTTTAATCTTATCGAGAAGTTTGTTTATATTTCAACACATTCAGATTAAGAACAGAATAAATAGAAAGAATTAATTACAAGGAATGGTTGAAAATGTTATATTAAATATAGTTTAGAAATTTACTTTTCTGTAATTTAACTTTATAAAGTAAAACCTCTGTCGAGAATTTTCGTCGAACTATTGTAATCTTGATACCGGGTTTCATTTACTTTATAAATTAAATGCACGAAAACAGCACTAACATTCAAATTTTCTGGAATTAATAATATTTTCAATTATTCCATAATATATTTAAATGCTGATTATGCATATGGGATCAATGCAAATTCGGTATAAAAAAAAAAAAAAAAAAAAGAAAGACTATTTTCTTGAAAATATTGCTCTGAAGCATGCATTTTTATGTTGAAATGGGAGAAACTTCTGAAGTTAAATTTTCTCCATTCCCCATCATTGTAGAATTCTGATTTTATGTTGAAAAAAATCATTTATTAGCAAATACTTTAGATCATAATGTTTGTTATGAAATTGACTACTACTCGGACGAGTAGTTAATAGTCTAATGAATTTTCTTTCGTTCACTTTTACATTTGATTCCACTACATTCTCAGTTCTTTTTATTTATAATCCGATTGTCCGTATAAAAAGAGAAATTTTCATATCATCAACACATGAGATATTTTTCTTTACTTACAATCTTATTGTAAATATAACGAAATTTTATAACTAATGGAGCAACGTATATCACGCACGCGCGCACACACATACTTATTCATCTATTGTCTATATAATTTTAATAATAGGATTATTGAAATTTGTTGGTGGTATTCGTAATTTTAACATTAGCGATTAACAGTAGCCTTTGGTCGTGTGAAAGTAAAAAGGGCAAAAAAGTGGGCGGTACTAGAGTTTGGGTTTGTTTCTCCTCGTTGCAGGTGGGTGGTTGTCGGGTCGCGGTACAAAGATCTCTCCTTCGCGGTCTCGTTCCAAGAGCGGCGTGCGTTTCATCGTTGCGCACGATCATCAATTAGCCGTGGAGACGCTGCTACGCTCGCTCGCCGGCAAGCACGGCAGGAAGTATAGCTTAGAGTCGGTTAGGATGTCGCTGGAGGCTATTCTGAAGCAGGGCATTAGCACAACCCAAGCGTCGGAGTTATATGGCATCAATCGGTCGACTTTGCAGTTTTATTTGAAAAAGTTGAACGTCGTGAGGAGATGGCGTAGGCGATTGAGGCAACAGTCCCACGACCTTGCTACCGACTCCCAACAATAATTATAAATATGATTTACGTCTTTGTAGATATATAAGGCTTGTGATTATTGACCGTGTGGCACTGGTTATTACGAACTGGTGTCGATAATTGTTATTAATTTGAAATTGTTCAATCGAGAGAATAGCCGGTGGGACGGGTGGGTGGGTAACTACTATTCGTTTATAAATCATGCTCCTCCAACGTCTAAAAGAGTAGGGTGCTATTTTAACATAACCCTGCTTCTTCGCTTCGTTGGTAGAATAAAATTCTAATTAATATCCTTCTGCTTAAATGTTTTGACAGTCTTTTTGCAGAGTGGAAAGATTTGAAACAATTATAATAAATTCTATCTATCTATCTATATATATATATATATATATATATATATATATATATATATTGCTAGAATTTTGTCAATACCTTACGGTTTATAATAATTTTATTCGTTGATTATATTTATGCTTTAAATTAATAATTCATTACATGAATTTAGGATTCGTAAAGTTGCATCTAAATAGTCGTGTACCATTCGCTTTAATACGTAGGCACGCACCTTTACAATGCTAGACAATTTTACCATGCCTAGAAGATTTCTTTAATATTCAATTCCATTTATTTCTGTTTAAATAATGCGATCTTGCAATCTCTATCAATTTATTTACATGTATGATATATAAAATGTATAATAGTCTCACCTAGACTATCGGTTTATTACGAGTTCTGTTTAGTTAATATATATGTGTATGTTATTCAATATAATAATAAATATCTTTAGACAGCTGATTCGACATTGATTTTTGTTCACACCGTCCTGGATTTGATTAATTACCTCTAATAATTATTGTGATTATTACGTAATTGCCATCCAATGCGACATCGTGTAATGAGCAATTACCTTTATTAACAATAAAATTTTCGTAAATATTAATTCGAGGCGTATTTACACGACGTAACATTGGTAAGAAAGTAACAATCATGATATCGCTCAGATTAATAAAAGGATGTGGTGTGGTGATGGTTGCGTGGGGGGAGGGTGGGAGGCTGGATATATACAAGTTTATCTTCATTGTAAATTGTCGGGGAATAACGAACGGGTGTTCGCGCGAGCCACTGTGCCGCAAAAAAGGATTCTATAATAGAGGATGTTATTTTGTACGCGATGACTCAACAGGTCTCGCGTCGTGGCACATAGCTGGAATGCGAGCGGCGTGGGTGCCGCAGCTGGACCGCCCGGATCGCAAGACGAAGTTTTCCTCGCCGCGCACGAAGCCGCCCAAGCCCAACGCGACTCTCAAGGTAGGCTCATCCACGCCAATTACCATAGCGCCCCTCGGCCACCTCACGACAATGGGCACTGACCTGTGCCAGAGATACGCACACGCCGGTTTGACGCCCTGATGTTTTACGTGCCTACCGAATGAGTCGTCATTTCTCGTAGAGCTTTTTATTGCCCCGGTAATGATATGGTAACAGCCGTAGTATAGTAGTACACTCTGAATTACTTGCTGCGCAATAGTTAAATTGTCATGTATAATGGCTTGTTGTGACTCATTCGGTATGGTGAAAATGTGTTTGTGTAGCAAATCGGTGCTGGAAAATCTATGAGAACATTTTATGATTGTTGTTTGTTGTCATGTCTATAAATTACTAGTTTATATAAATAAATAAATAAATATGTGTGTGTGTGTGTGTGTGTGTTTGTTGTGTGCGTATGTGCCCATTGCTCAGGGGCTCGAGGTGGCCCAAGTTTTTCGCTGTCGGGCAGTGTGGTGCAATCGTGGTGACGATTGACGATATACGATCCTTTTCAAGCGTAGCGCGGTCTCTGATAGAGCTTCCTTTTTTTTTTATTATAATAATTATATTGTGTATTATGCTATGTCAGTCGACAATTGCAATAGTAAACAGCCGTGCGTAAACAGAATTGCATTGAGCAAATGAAGAAAAATCACCATTTCATTGGTTATACTATTATTCTATGTAGATTATTCATTTTCCAAGTTACGGTCATTATTACTCGTTATCGCAGATTCGTGAATACCATTAATAATCATTGTTATTATTATTATTATTATTATTATTATTATTATTATTATTATTATTAGTAATAATAATATTGCTATTAGTATTAAAATTTTTGTACATAGTCAAAATGGAAGGAAAGCACAGCGTAAAAGAGTACGGGGCCTGCGGGCTTTCCGGCATAGTAGCAAAACAACTGTTTTGACGTGCTTTGCAGTCCTCGATAAAAACTCTTTCTTCTCTTTCACACTTCTCTTCTATCGTTTTCTCGTTCTTTTTATTATTATTATTATTATTACTATTATTATTATTATTATTTATATTATTTTGATTTTTATTTTTATTATTTTTATTTTATTTTATTTTATTTTATCTTTTCTCTCTAAGATATATATGTACCATACATACTCGCCTCTCTCTCTGTCGTACGAAATGCCGACGAAGAAGAATTAGAGTAGTCATCATACGCTGGTTATTATTCCGCCCACTCCCTCGTGACCCTCGTCGCCTTGAACAACACCGCCTTAAAGAGTAACTTAAGAATGTAATATGAGAGACGATATCCGGTTCCACGCGTCGTAGCTTAGTCAGTCCCTGTCTCTCTCTTTTGAACACGCGCGGATATCGTGCGCACATAACTGTGTGCATACGTCGTGTTTTTTCTTAACTCTTATAAAAATTCGCAAAATTTTCCACTGCAAAAGGCCGACTCCCTTTTTATCCCGTAGTGGCATTCTTTTACCGTTCGCCGTGTCGGTCGCTGGGGGGGGGGGTGCTCTGGCTTTCGAGGAAATACGAGAGCAGCGCATACCATACCACCATCTTACTACATCTTTACAACGAAACTGCTACTACTACTAAACTATACTGCTACTACTAGTATTATTATTATTCTATTATACTATGGATACTAAATTAATTGGTCTCTAACAAAGAATAGGAGTAAAAGTAAGAGTTGAAGTAAAAGAAGCAGCGCGCGTAGATTTGGCTGGCCTCCGAGGTTCCTCCTCTTGGTGCCGAGGAGTAACCGCGCGCGAATGTTCCCACGAAAACTCGTTGGCCTTGAACGGGGAATAAGCGACGCACGCCCGCCGCCGCCGCCATGAAAGAAACGAGCTTTACTAGTGACGAAGGAGGGCCTTCCGCTCAACGGACCCCTCCACCTCCTCTCTCTCCTTACCTACCATCTCTGTCTTCAAATTTTTTCGCGTGTTCTCTGTTTCTTTTTTAGGTATTCGCGCGTGCGCGTGTGTGGGTCGAGGAAGACATGAAATTCGCTCGGCCTACTCGTCACTAGATTATTTGATCAAGAAAATTCCAACGGGCCAAATTCGTATGGCCTTAGCAATATCATGAGAGAGAAAGAGATAGAGGAAGAGATATTTGTATAGTTAGGTTGAGATATATATATATATATATATATATATATATATATATAGAGAGAGAGAGAGAGAGAGAGAGAGAGGAGGGGATAGAGAGAGATAGAAAGAAAGTGAGATATATAGATAGATGTTTAGAGATAGAGACGAATAGAAAGTTGCGTTTCGTAGTATAACGGTACTTTATACCTAAAGAAGCGACAGTAGTAGTAGTAGTAGTAGCAGCGGCGCTCCTCGACCCAAGTAGACATAGATTGTCTTGAGAGCAATGAACTCGATTTGCCTCGTCTCTAGGCTCTTGCGCGCAGATGTCGACCGAGAAATGCTCGGTGTAGTGAATAAACACGGCTATAGTAGGGGCGGAGAGAGATAACTTTTATAATAGATAGTCTATCGAAAATCTTATTTTCTAGATGACTGATGACGAGTATACGTACATGCTCGCCGTATACCTAAATAACCGTATTAAACGGCAAATATGCGTTTCTGTTAAAATGATTACATTACGTTAAGAACGTATTTTTTATTTTGCAAAGCAATAACGGAAACTGAGCATTTTTTATTATACGGAGAATAGAGAGGGAGTTTGAAGAGGCGACCGAGGAGGAGGAAGGAACCGAGTTTCGATTTTCGCGATTGAATATGATTTGGCAACGTCGCCGAAGTGAAGGAGGAATGCTGTTGCCCAAAGACGCGCAGCTGTGTACCTCCTTCCCTCCTCCTCTTTCTCCTCTTTAGCCAAGGCTTGTCGTTCCCCTTGTTGTGGTGGGCCGCATCTGCCGCCGAGCGAGAAAACGCAGCGGCGGCAGTCGATGCGGAGGGAACGAAAAACCGCAAAGGGCCACGGCGTGGTTGCTTGCCTGCTTGGCGTTTGACCTTGGCAAGCCCCGCCGAGGACCGTAAGGTTTGCCAAAAGCCTGAACTTTCAAAACAAAGCTCTACAATGCGTCTCTTTTTTTTTTTAATGGCGTGGTTGCACGCGGCGTCGGTTAATTGTATGTCCTTGTATAATAACGAGACTATAACGACGGGCATAATAATTTATAATTAGGCAACTTTTCCGTAATAATGATTAGATGATCGTAGTCGCGGCGATCACAACGTGGGAACCAATCAAGGTAATTCCGGAGAGAGAGGAGCGAACTCTCTCATCAATGCCAGTGCTATTATTTATTTTCGCTAGGTATTCGCGAGGAGATGATATCTCGTTGAATTTACTTTCGCCTGCTAAGATGCCAATTACTTGCGTTCGCTTGTGTCGCTCTCTAACGAGCAACACTCACATATTCATTTACGAATGTTAAGCATACACCTTTCGACATATACACCGTGTGTGTACATGCGCATATATATATATATATATATCTATATATATATATATGCAAAGTATAGTATATTTCGCGTAGTTCTGTTTTTGATCATTAAGCATGATCGTGTGCTCGCATTGATGTCGGAGGTCGTTTATTCATCGTCAGAGATCATTGTTACCTTGAAATTGACTCAATATTACACGATTCAATTATTATGATAGCGGCGCGTCATTTCTAATTTTGTTTACGTGTTACGCTATTCAGCAGTTTGTTGAATCGCTTATCGTAAGGTATTATGGTTGTGTCGGGATATTGCGAAATCTATTTGGTACTTGTTTCCTTTGAAAATTAAAAATGAAAAAGATTTAAAAAATTGTGTTGCACCACGTTGTCTACAGTGCGTAGTGAAAAATTCAGTTCTTTATAAATGTGAGTAGCGCGGAGAATTCGGCCGGGGAGGATGAACCCTTTCGCAATAATCTGGACATAATTTTTATTGCGAAAAATCAACGTCGTCGACCGAGTTCTACCGACTTGAGAAAATCCCCCCAGATCCCACGAGTTTTTTTTTCTCTCAGAAAAAGGAAAAAAAAATGAAAAGAAGGAAACGGAAAGCACCTCTCGTAGTTATGTTCGTGTTTCTTTTTTTTGTTTTTTTTTTTTTTGTTGGTAGTTATGTTGAATTAATACACACACGTAGTAGAGAAAAAAATGGAGGGATATGAGAAAAATAACTCTTAACGAGTGTTACATATATAAAAAGAAAAAAAAGGAACATACGAAAAAGAAAATGACATGATTCATTCAAGTGGCGCCAAGATGTACGCACACGCGATCTAGTGGATATTCTACTTTTAAATGCGTTTGCGTGTTTGTAATATATATATATATATATATATATATATATATATATATACTCGCGTACACGCAGGTCAGAGAAACATTCGAGTTGTCGAGGAGAAAAGTCGTTGTACTCGAGCTTGCGCTGAGCATCAAGATCGCTTAAATAGAGGGGAACGAAGCGAACGGACGAGGGTGATGACAATGTATATACATATATATGCATATATACATATGTACGCATTTCATGTATGTATATATATATATGTACACAAAACTCTGGTCTGCTGGGCTTCCTGTCTTCCTCTTGCACGCGAACGAGCCTCGAACGTTCTTCCCCTCTCATGTACACCTTTATCATAAATCTTTGTTATACTCCAACATCGTCTTCGTCCCTTGCTCCCTTTGTTCCCCATCTTTTTTGATTCTTGTTTCGTCTCGCTCGACGGACTCGCGGTCTTTCTCACGACGACAGCGACTCTGATACCTTCTCTCAAAAACTTTGCATATTTATGCCTATGTGGTGCGTCTTGGCCTTACGTTGAACAAGAAAAAAAAGTAATTAACCCAATTATATTGACCGTTGTGCGATTTTGCGTAATTCGTCTTGCATGCCACGCTTCCTACGGTAGTGTTTTTTTAATCTACACTCTCTAACTCACATTCAAGACACGTTTGCTTGCTTCAAAATTTTATCTTACCTTTGTAGTGCAAAAAGCGCTAAGTTTGATGGTTTCGCCAAATG